TCTCCCGAAGCTGCAGATTCAGTGCCATCGTTTGAGATACATTCTTCTCAGGGGAGGGGTAGGCATCCACTTAGTATTTGGGGCTGGGGCCAGCCCCGATAAAATATTTTTAAATGTGAAAAAAATGTAAAGAATTTCTAGATACAATTTTCTGTACATATCATAAAATGCAATCTAATTAAATTATCACATATGAAGAAAACTACACTGTCAGAAAAAGAAGAAAGAGGAAAGCCGACAATGTCAGGTCAGAGACTTAGAAGTCGATGGCAGCTTTCATCTGTCAGCTCAGTGCGTGAGAATTTCCACTTGGGGTGCTAGGTTGCACAAAAGGGAAACGACAAGAGCAGAAGCGTTGGCCTTACCAGTCCGCAGTTGATGGAAATGCCTTCTTTGGCTCGCTCGCCTGTGGCTCCTGTCCGTTTCAATCTTTCTGATCCTGCCAAGTCCACAAAATGGAACTTTGCGGTCAGGGTCTCAAATTCATTCATCTGCAAGGATTCAGAAATCATCTTATTATCAGTCGCATTTTCCTGCAATGGAAGCATTTGTTGAAAATATGTTGTTAATGTGACAATAAAAATGCTCCAAGGAAGAGTGCAGTATAGCACCGAAGAAACATATAACTTTCCTGTAGTTCTTTAATGGGCCCCCCCGCCCCCACTATCATGACCCCAATTCTACCTTACAAATCTGGCTAGACAAGAGCACATACACAGGTACAGGTAAGAGCTGGAAACACAGGAAATCCAGGGCAGATAAACCCCTTAGGACCAGTAATGATAGTAGCCACACCAGGAGGGGAAGGGGAAGTTGGGGAAGAGAGAGGGGGAAAAGATCACAATATAACTCCTCCCAGGAGGACAGACAACAGAAAGGTGGGTCAAAGGAGACATCGCTCAGTATAAGACATGAAAAAATAATAATAACTTATAAATTATCAAGGGTTCATGAGGGAGGAAGGGTGGGGGAGGGAGGGAGGGAAAAATGAGGAGCTGATACCAAGGACTCAAGTAAAAAGAAAATGTTTTTAAAATGATGATGGCAACGTATATACAAATGTGCTTGACACAATACATGTTATATATGCACTGTGACAAGAACTGTACGAGCCCCAATAAAATTATTATTTTTAAATGCTCCAGACTCACTTACCTAAATGTGTACCATATATACTCGCGTATAAATCAAGTTTTTCAGCACATTCTTAATGCAGTTTTTGTGGTAAAATTAGGTGCTGCGGGTGATATTCGGGTCGGCTTATACTTGAGTGTATACAGTAGGTATGTATATACAGGGGGGAAAAAGCCGGTAGCTAGCTAAATATAAATGCAGAAATATCTGCTGTCAATTAGAAGTTTAGACAAGGAATGAAGCATGAAAGTCAAAAGCCAGCTGATATCGACTAAGACTTTGCTCATGTTGATGCCAGGAAGCTCTTTTTTTGAGCACATTAGTTCTCAAAAGCAAAGGGCTACTTTCAGGTGACTACATGCATCACCAGCTGGGGACCGCATGCTTTCTGGTGGTTGCAGAGACAAATCCAATTTACTTCCAAATCTTATAAGATTGGCCACATTTAGGAGAAGTAAGACAGAAGATAAACCATTAGGAAAAGAAATTATTGAACAAATGGATTTAGTTCAAATGCACTCTCTTGGGTTTCTTGTGATTTAGGTCTGTCTGAACATTAGAAATCAGAACTTACAGCATCTGTCTGGGGACACATTCTAGTTTGACACACGTGAATGGTAAAAATGGCATGTGAACGAGAGCTCTGAACATTCATCTGGGTACTGGCCGTGGTCCGGGATAAAGCACCCAACTTCAAACACTGCATCATCTGAAAAGAAGGAGCAAAGAACAATAGCTAACAAGATCCCACTCAGTCATTAGTCTACGCTAATGGTTAATCTACCACCTCAAAGATGTAAAATATGCGGATTTTCACATGACTATTTTATTTTAGTACAGAGTTGAGCTGAACTTCTCATAATAATAGTGTATTATTCTTTAAACAAGAGAATACACAGAGATGCCTTTGTTTGCCCCTTGCTGACATTTGCAGCTTCCACTCCAAAACTTTTTCAGCGGAACACTTTGCTACAATCTGAGAAGTAACTGGAATTGCTCAGGCTCTTGTGTAGCCTCTGAATCTTTTGGTAATTTTTCTTAACAGTCTTCATTTAGGAGCAAAGATACAGTTCTAACCTGAGACAGTAAAAGTACCAAAGGACTACTTCTCATCCTTCACCTTCAATTGTCTGACCCTCTTTCTGGAACTGTGAGAGAAAACTACACATACAGTGCCCTACAGTCTATCGCTGTTCCCATGAATGCACTGCCTTTATTAAAGACTTGAAATTTTTAGTAAAATCCTGATATGTATGTTTTTTTATTGAACATAAGACTTTAACTCCGTGGTATGAAAGGAGCTTGGTGACTCTATGGAAGAAAGATGTGGCAGTATGTTTCCATAAGAATTACAGCCTTGCAAACTACTGGAGCACTTCTACCTTGTCCTATATGGTTCAGTATGAGGCAGAAACAACTGGATGACAATGGGTATGCTTAAAGACACAAGTTTCATGTCTCATACCTTGTTCTCAAATATACTATTAGGAGGGGTGACTGTTTAAACAAAGTTAAAGATGCTCTATGATAACTAGAACATAGATGTTACCTCTGATTCTGTATTCACATTACGGCTTGTGACGCCAACAGTATAAATTCCTCCAGTTGAATCTTCATGAATTTTTATGTTTGACTTTTTATTTTTTGCATCAATATCACGAGTAGTATCAAACAGATCAAGAACTTCTTCATTATACAGCTATAAAAAAGACATAGTAAAAGTTTAATTTTAGCAGAAATTGCCTCATGACTATCACAGCACATACTGTATGTTACCTTTCAAACATATTATAGAGTTCTCCATTTGTTCAAAATCACATCTATTTTCTTCAAAATAAGACATAAAAAAAGATGAACAATTAATATTCCAAATATAAATCAACATCAGGTTGATTTACAAGAGTAAGGACAACAAAGTACTTTTTACTGACTGGTGGGTTGAGGTAAAATGAATGCCTACTCTTTGCAAGAGATATACAAATAGTGACAAAAACAAACAAGATTGGAAAGATGCACCAAAATAGATAAGTTCTACACTTAAAGAATATTTCAACAATTTTTAACATTTAAGCTAAAGATATCCCCTACTCTCCTGTAACCCTTATTAACATGTCTACAAATTAATTCTTAGCATTCTTGCAAGGTCAGTAATAACATTGTCTTTATAGCTAATAGTCGCTAACAAGATCAAGCTGCTTTCTTATAAGAGGATGCATATACCCAGTTTTTCTAATAATACACTTTAAAGTGATAAGGCTGAAAAACATTTTGGAGATTGAAAGGGATGATGAAGAATATGATGTCTTTCCTTTTTCCACCATTATCTGCTTGCCTTTAGGTAGAAATGCATAGTCTGTGTTCTTGATTTTTAGAATTGGAGGTCCATTAAAACCAATAGTAAGATAACTAGTGGTACTAATATTACTTTGAATTAAATTCCTATCTTGTGCTAAATTTGGTGAAAAAAGTGCTGCATTAACGATCAAAATCACTAACATATGCGTCAGATGAATTAGACTTAAACACTCTTAGCACCTAGGACTCAGAATTATACTTTAACCTAACAGCAAAATTGTTCAAATCCCAGAAGTCCTCTTGTTGTCATGCTCCTCCCAGCACACAATATGGACCTAAATTAACCCCAAACATGTCCCAACCATTGGCCATTTCATCAAATCATCTATCTCTATTTTTGTAGAGATACCAATTTCCACTGCCAGATTAGTGCCGCGCGTTCTCTCTTCTCTTCTGGTTTTAATTGCTAAACTCCCAACACTTTGTGAGTCTGCCTAAATTGCAAGAGTAATAACAGGATAAAGAGAAATTCTGAAATAAACAATTATTCTTGCACTCTATGTACACTGGTTAAGTGTGCATAATCTTAATACAGTATCATTGACTACATGTAAGGAATACCGTTTATACTCGTGTATAAGTCAAGTTTTCAGCACATTTTTAATGCAGTTTTTGTGGAAAAATTAGGTGCCATGGCTGATACTCAGGTCGGCTTATACTCAAACATATATGGTAATTACTACCGATTATCTAATGTTAATGCAGTCAAAGAATATTTAGTGAGTACTGTGTGCCCTGGTGGGGGAGTCCTGGTGGCATAGTGGTTACACGCTGCTCTGCACTTCGCAAGGCTGGCAGCTCTAAACCACCAGCAGCTCCATGGCAGAAAAAAGGGCCTTTCTACTCCCGGAACAGTTACAGGCTCAGAACCTCACAGGGGCAGTTGTACCTGTCCTGCAGGATCAATATGAGTCAGTATTGACTCAATGGCGTGAGTTGGGGGGACTTTTTTGTTTGTTTGTTTGGTTGGTTGGTTTAGTTTTCATATGTGCCCTAGTGGTACAGTGATTACATAGTAGGCTGCTAACCACAAGGTCAACAGTTCAAAGCCACCAGTTAGTCTGTGGGATAAAGGTGGAGCTTTCTACTTTGGTGAAAAGTCACAGTCTCAGAAACCCACAATGGCCATTCTAATCTGTCCTAGAGGGGCAGACTGTGCATTAGAATCAACTTAATGACATTGGTTTTTACTATGTGCCAGGCACTCTATAAGACGTTGGAAGTGTATAATCATAAGGGTTGTGGTGTTACGGACAACATTTAATAGAAACTGATGGCACACTATTACCTCTAAGAATTGGGCATTCACTTTAAAATCTGGCGGAGGAAGTCCGTTTTTAATTGCAGTGTGTTTTTTTTCTTCAATACTTTTGAAAAGGTGTTTAACAGCACGGGAAATAATACCCTGTTCTTCCTCGGTGATGTTAACATCAAATCCTGTTCCCATTGTGTATGTTTTTCCAGCTCCAGTCTGAATAGAAGAACAGCAAAAAATGAGTACCAAATCATAATAACAATCTCAAAGGAAATAAAATGAAAAGGCAACTGAACTGATCCTTCTCAAGACTCACACAATTCATGTAAGAATGATTTAGTACTTACTTGTCCATAAGCAAAAACTGTAGCATTATAGCCTTCAAAGCAACCTTCAATTAGTTTTTCTATACACTCAGAGTAGATCTGCTCTTGCTGGGATTCAAGGTCAAACACATAATCAAAAGTAAAGGCCTTATCCTTCCCTAGGAAGACCTGAGGCTCTCCCGGTGTGACAGATGTACAAATATGGCATCCTTCAATCTTTTCTTTGGCAAGCTGTGGTCTTATTCTGTGAGAAATAATCAGAAAAAAAAAAAATTGAACCAATAAACCAAAAACCTCAGGACTGATTTACCTAAGGACGAAGTTCAGAGGGTTAAGAATGAAGAAAAGAGTGTAAACAAGAAAGACAGAGAGGAAGCAGTGGTGCATGCTGGGACTTCAATGGATGAGCTCAATCAGATATGTTTGAACTGTTGAGTGTAAAATTATGATCTACCCAGTAAACCTTCATTTAATGCACAGTAAAAAGTAAAAACAAAACCAAAATATTTAAAAACTAGGACTTAAAAATTGCTCACCAAATCTTTTGAGAACACTACTAGCTATTGCTCTTTCAGTTGAAAAGTTTAAATAAATTGAATTGTATTGGATCAAGTTACGTATGGGTTACTTAACAATCTCAAAAAATCATAAACAAGAATAAAATGCGTATTAAAATTAAATACTAATGCAGGTAGAGTAACACTTTTCCTAATCTAGTAAGAGGTAGACACCTAGTTAAATAAATTCTGTGAACAAAATGCTATGTATGGTTGATTATTTCATGCTTTTAGAGTTCTTCTCTTTATTTCCAGGGATGATGATATACAATAATGAAAATTTAAAGACATAGTATTTATCTTAATGCTCTTGACACATCTCTTTGTTGCAAACTCTTTATCATACTTCTGAGTTTATTTGATAATTTTTCTCCTACCAATAGAAGATCTTTAAGTATACTCCAAAGTACTATTGATACAGTATGTATTATAAAAGGGAGTTGTGGTGGTTTAGTGGTTAGCAGGCTGCAATGCACATGGTCGGCAGTTTGAAACCACCAACAGTTCCCACCAGCAGCTCCTTGAGAGAGCTTTCTACTCTCATAAACAGTTACAGTCTTGAAAACTCAGAGGGTTGCATGAGCACTGATACAAAAGTAGAATTTTTCAAAAAAGAAATTAGAAACAAATACAAATAGAAACTCTAATATTTTCTCTCCACTGCCCATAAACCATCTTATACAACTCCTATGGTGTCCTGCCCTTTACTTTGAAGACCACACAAGTACACCAACCCCACATCCATCCCCATCTCCTCCAGAACTTAGTACTTTTCTGTTCTGTCTTCTCCCCCTATTTTTCAGGCCTATTTTCAAAGTATGTGGATACAGAGATACGTTGATTTTTGAGCAAACTCAATTCTGAACCCACGATACTCACTCCATGAAAAGGGCCATCTTGGACATATTTCTATGTAGAAACCGCTCACTTACTGCACCTAGATTTTTTTTAAGGGTTCCTATTTGCCATGGAGAAGGAGAAAGGTGAAAATAGCCAAGGATGGGAAATATATAATGGTGAAGATAGAAGGAAGAAAGAATTTTAAAGCACTGTATTTTTTAATATAAGTAGGCCTTAAGAGGTGGAATAGTTCATCTCTTTAGTAGAGATAAACCTGTGCCTAAGTTTAGCTCTCTTGTCTGTACCATTTTCCAGTGCATCATCAGGATGGGAAGAGGGCAAGAGGGCAAGACAAGCAATAACAAAACATCAATGAGTGTTTGGAACCCTGGTTATCTAAACCACAATACTGTACCAACCAAAAGTAAAATCCTTAGCACTGAGATAGAAGATATATATATTCTATACATATTTATATACATACACCCTTGTATAGTGGTTATGCATTAGGTTGCCTTCCACAAGGTCAGATAAATGGGGCTTTTCTACTCCTGTAAACAGTTACAGACTCAGAAACACATAGGGACAGTCCTAGAGGTCACTATGAATTGATTTCACCTTGATAATAGTGAGTTTTTTTGAGAAGATAGATATATATATTATATATGCATCTTTTCCTTTCCTATGATTAGTGTTTTTTCTTTATTAAGCCTTCAGATCTGTTTATTTGCTTAATAAAACATAATTATCTATGTGAAGCTGTCTAGGAGAGAGCAATGAGGGGCAGTTAGAAGACTGGGGTCCACTCATATTTCTGTCACCCAGAGATCAGGGGTGGGGAACATTCAGGCCACAACTGATAGTGCCCTTAAAATCATCAATACCAGCTACCATCACCAGCCTCAGCAAAGAAAAGCATTTCCAGCCATTACATTCAGTGTCAGTTAATTAAATGCTTAACCAAGATAGCCCAAGAATGATGTTCCAAATACCTAAAAGGCCCTTGGCAGAAAAAAATGTTCCCTACCCCTGCTTATGTGCTTTCTCCCAGAACTCTAATTTCCTCACCTGTGGATTAAAACTGTAATTCCCAAGATCCTTTAAGATGCAACACTAGTTGACCATAAGATATTGTGTAGTAAAATTGAGGTTGAGGAAAAATCACATTTATATGTTATTATACAAGGTAAATGCATAGTATCACAAATAAAACAACAGGCTCCTTATAAGGAGTTATGTTCACGGACCATAAAAAGCCAGTAAGAATAGTAACAGGCTCCACCTGCCCCCCATATTGTAAAGAATCAGTGGTCTTTCTCAAAATTATTATTCTCTTCTTTCTAAATCCCTCTTTACAAAATCCTGGGGAGCGAGAAGGAGGGGTCAAAACAAAACCATAGGTTCTGAGAGAATCACCTCCTGCTGGTCGCCGAGTCAAAACCTGTGAGTCAACCTTAGCTCCTCCCTTCCCTTTATTTCCATATAGGATCTATGTCCAGGAGCTATGAATGTGAAAATAGCAACTTGTGCTAATTACTTTCCTTAACTATCAACACCATCCTAACCAAGGTTACCATTAGCCCTTACCTACATGGAAAGCCTCCTCACCTGTTGCCCTGCGTCAAAACATGCCTCCCATCAATCTGTCCCACACACCACAATATCAGTGACCTTTCTGAAAGGTCATTTGGTCAAGTCACAACCTTGCTTAAAACCTTCAGTACATCCACACATCCTTCTAGACTCTCTCTTTTTTTCATATGCCAATGTTGAATGGAAAAGCCTTTTGGTGTATTTGTGATGGTGGTTTATTTTAGATCCATGCCCTGCAGGTATGAACTTGTCTCCACGTATTCAAATACAGTAATCCTTACCTTGGACCACTTCTCCATTCCCACCCTCTTTGCCAGCCCACGAATTTCATGTCTTCGTTTCCCACTGAGGTATCACTTCTTTCAGAAGATTCTCTGATTGCTTGACATGAAGGAGTTGATACCCTGCCTCTGAGTTACTGAAGCACAGCATAGTACTAACATCAAAAACATGAGGTACTCAGTTAAAAACAAATGGTACCCCTTAGTAGTCACTCTGTGAGATCTCACCATATGTGCCGTAAAAATCAAACCTGTCACCTAGTAGACATGCCCCCAAAACAAAAGATGCCAGGGATGCAAATCAATTCCATGGCTTACAACAACATCATGTACACAATGATAATTGAGTAAACACATTGAGGGAGAAAAGGAAATCTAGAAAAGGAGATAAGCATCCCCAACTTTTCACTTAATTCATATCCCCTCAACTCTCACATTTAACTTTAAGGTATTTATGGACAATGTTGGCATAATATAAACAGAAATGCCCAATCACGTACTTAGTTCTGTGAGCGTGAAAGATCATGGTCAAAGGAAAACACACGTCATTTTAAAGTGCTGATTTGGCAACTTTCCCTACATTGAGCGAGACAAGGGAAAAACATCCATCAGAGAAACATTTGCTAATTTCAGATCGAACTGTTCTTGGATGTTTTATACCTAACATCAAAACAATATACTCGCTGACCCATGGCCCTACGGGGGACAACACTGGAGACTCAGTGTTGGGATTGGCCCAGTCTGACCCCACCACACCAAGGCAAAAACACTAAGGGTATGCAGCAGAGCAATGGGGGGAGCAGAGCAGGGAGGTCCCAAGGGAGTGCAAAGGATAGACTTTGGGGCCAGAGCGTGGCACCCCATCAGACTCGACTGGAGGACACGCCTAGAGGTCAATAGACCTTGATCTATTTATAAGTTTTTCTTTTATTTATTTATTTTAAAAAAATAATTTATTCTTTTCTTGGTCATTGGTTTTCTTTGTTGTTGTCATTGTTGTGTTCTCTTTTGTCACTTTGTCTTGCTATGCCTTGTTCTTTGGTGCATATTATTATCTCT